GCAAGGCGCACAACTACAGATACTAATCATTAAAATAAAAAGAGTTTCATGACGAACGTTTAAGGGACCAGAGAGAACACTCTCGGACAAAATTCGTCGCTTTTTACAGGTTTCCATGGCAACGGTAGACATATTGGAACTGAACGACCTCACTGCACAACTACAACCAGTGATCGTCCTTTGAGGAAAGTTTCAGGAAGATTGCCCCAGCCATCTCCGAGAAACAGCCTGGATAAACAAAACATGCGTACAATATCAATATGTCGTCCCCGACTTCGTTCGGGGCGACATAACTAGAAAATCTGCTATTGCAAGCAATAGCATATGTCGCCCCGTACTGGACAAGACTTTCATTTTTATCATCACTAAAACAATAGTCCATAAGCTAACAATTGAACAACCATCAAGTCGTATCAGTCCTTTCCATTGGAAACGGAAGACCTTAATTGGGTACATCCCACTAATTATTTTTAGAATCGGTAGGAGAAGAAAGTAGTGCAGGAAAATTACAAGTTCCTAAATTTGCAGACTTGCCTAAAAAAATCTGGCAGATGTACTGAACTGAGCCTCATACTTGTTAATTGGCAGTATCTTTCCTATTATAAAAACTTGGCAAATGTGAGTTATGAAGAAGATCAGCCGAATAATTTTGTGTATTATAACGACAGTGAGAACTCTGAAATTTCACTCTTTCACTTTCATTTTCTGCCGAAAAAACGAATCAGACATGCCACCATGAATTCGAGCATCTCTGTATTGCAGAGAGCTGATGTTTGTTATAAGATGATAAATCATGTGTAAACTTTCTCAGTTTAGCGGAATCATGAACATTTTCGGCGAGATGAATGTTTTGTATACAGTGGTGATCAAAGCTTCGCGAACCCGCAGGAGCGGATCCAGGGATTTATGAATGAATAAAAACTATGGAAATGACGTACCATTTTTTTTTTTATTTTTACTTGCACTATCTAATGAAGTGAATAATATACAAGTAATAGATATACAAGAAAAGGCTAAATGATAATAAATGCAGTTGACAATCGTTATTTTTTTTTATATAGATAAAATAAAATAATTATAAATTCAAGAGACAAAACAGAAGGAGAATGAATGATGGCAAAATATCACATGACGGGAACTGTATTTTATGAATGAAACTTTTAAAACGTTACTTGTAAGATGTATATGTTATATCTGTGTATTCTACCTGGCTGTGTGCTTCAAAAGGGGGGGGGTCGTCTTGAACATAGTACTTAAGCCATAACGTATGAACGGTAAGTGATAGGGCTTTCGTATTTCAAATATGTAATCCTTGTGAAAAGAACTTTTATTGGATACGACGAACTTTGACCCTTTGACCTAGACCTTGGAGAACACATGTGTACATCTTAATCTTCTTTTCTGTTTTGTTTCTATGGCAACTGTGAGCGACTCATTACAATTATTTTAAAAGTAGAAATCACTTTGACACATTGCAAGGAATAAACATTGAAAGTTTCAAAACCATTGCCTGCGTAGTTATTGAGAAAATCGAAATTAAAGAATTTTAACTTTCACCTGGTTTCCATGGCAATAATCGATTATTTGAAAATTTTAAATGCGAGGCGCACAACTACAGATACTAATCATTAAGATAAGAAAAGTTTCATGACGAACGTTAAAGGGACCAGAGAGAACACTCTCGGACAAAATTTGTCGCTTTTTACAGGTTTCCATGGCAACGGTAGACATATTGGAACTGAACAACCTCACTGCACAACAACAACCAGTGATCGTCCTTTGAGGAAAACTTCAGAAAGATTGTCCCAGCCATCTCCGAGAAACAGCCTGGATAAAAAAAACATGCGTACAATATCAATATGTCGTCCCCGACTTCGTTCGGGGCGACATAATAATAAGAAACAGAGTAAAAACAATATGTTCCCCAACTTCGTTTGGGGAACATAACAAAGGATGCTTGGTATTAAAATATTATTTCAAATCAGTAGAATTGAATGCTATAGCTGTGCCTGGTAAATTTTATATACTTTGTAAATAAATATATAAAGGTTTTTTGACCGGAACTATTCATTTTTTCCAATGCATAGGGGGCTACTCTCTGGGTTTTACAAGAGATGTTTAAAAAGACATTCGTGTCAGCTAATGTGACCAATATTGTTTAACACCTTCTTATTAATATTTTTTTCATGAATGTAATATCTGATTATTTTACGAAGGAGCGTACATGTATATTGATTTTTAATATACCGAAAATCGCTTTTCTGGGGATTGCATAATTCTAAAAAAAAATTCAAATAAATTTCAAAGGTAAATTAAACAAAGGATGCTTGGTATTAAAATATTATTTCAAATCAGTAGAATTGAATGCTATTAACGACATTTGAATAAATAGGCTATAAAAGGCTTATATGCCAACTTTGGTCATCTGCACTTTAATTTTAAACACGACAGGATTTGTAATTTTTTCTGTATAAATTAATAATTTCTATATACTTTGGAAACTCAAATGAAATATTTTAATACACTTTCCTCGAGCTCTTTTCTGCAGTTTTCCTGAAATTTTATGTGGGTCCGAGTTGTTATTTGAGTTTAACAGTGATTCTCTACGTTGCCATTAATTTGATTTGTTTGTGTGTTTGTGTGTTTGTGGGGGTGGGGGGGGGGGGTATTTTTATTCTTAACCTATTTAACGTTGGAGTTGAATGTTGTATCTTATTCCAAGAACTTAAGATTGATTGTGACATTTGGATGAAAGGTCAAGGTCATTAAAAACCACCACCTCTTTAACTTCTAACCTGTCAACCGAAATAAACTCTGAAAGGTGTTTCTAGATACATGTACATGTACTTCATGTTTCTTTTTACCCTTGGGTCAAGGACAAAGGTTAAGGTCGATTTCAAGTTCATAGGTCAAGGTGATTTTGGTAAATAGCTAATATCAACATTTTATTCAGGTTACCAGTGACCTTGACCTAAGTTCCAAGGTCAAGGGTAAAAAGATCTGCATGCTTCAGTATGTTACATGTCTTGACATTTAGAAGTTCTTAATTCTGCATGAACATCAAACACTCAAGTATACTGTCTTTTAAAGCATTGTGTGCGGTCGCATGTGCATGCACGTCCATGCATTTACTTTTGATAGTAGTATAATGTAGGCAATCATTATATCTATTCATATTTGAAATTTCACCCTGTATTATTGAGAACCAAGAAAGTTGTAGGCATTTAAAGTTTTAGCCAATCAGATTGCAGCACACGTGCATGTGCGTGCGTTCATGATTATTCTTATATATCATGCTGTAGATCTTCATAATGTAAGACTATGTTCAAAATTTCAAAAGAATTTTGTCAGAAAACAAAATAGATATTTAGACTTTTAGTTTCAGCCAATCGCAGCGAAGGGCACCTGCATGCGCGTGAGATCTTGCTATTTTGACCATGTCATCATGGCTATACTACTATTATATCCTTATATTACGAGTTTCAAAGCATTTCATCCAATATTTAAAAAGTTACGGCTAAATCTATTATATTGGTCATTTCACGTGTTACACGTGCGCGCACATGCACGCACGTGCGCGCAAAATGACCTTCGTTCCGCACATCTACATAACATACCTAGTGGCCCTAAAAAGGTTTCACCTAGATCGGATGAGTAGTTTACGAGAACACTCGTGGACAAAAAAGTACCGGAGAACAAAGAAAAAATTCAGAAAAAGTAAAAACAATATGTTCCCAAACTTCGTTTGGGGAACATAATAAGAAACAGAGTAAAAACAATATGTTCCCCAACTTCGTTTGGGGAACATAATTAGCAAAAGGCGCACAAATAAGATCTAAAGCACAATGGATAGAAGAGGGCGAAAGAAACACAAGTTTTTTCCTTGGATTAGAAAAGAAAAACCAAACTAATAATACAATTTTTGAAGTACGAAATGAAACTAAGACATTTTCTTCAAATTCTGAAATATTGCACGAAATGTGCACTTTTTACGAAAACCTTTACAGTAGTAAATTAATTGATAATGCTGAAATATCAGAATATCTACAAAATGTTAATTGTCCAGAATTAGAAAATAAAGAGAAGGAAAAATGTGATGCAATGCCTACAATAGATGAATGTAAAGAAGCTGTTTTTAATATGAAAAACAATAAATCTCCTGGCTTAGATGGTTTACCGTGTGAATTTTATAAATGTTTTTGGAACACTATAAGCTCCTTATTTTACGAAGTACTGCTATCCGTTTTTGACAATAAAGAGTTGACTTTTTCACAACGCATATCTCTTATTACAGTTTTATTTAAAAAAGGAGACAAGAATGATTTAAAGAACTATCGACCTTTAAGTTTAACAAATACTGACTATAAGATAATAGCTTTCATATTTGCAAGAAGATTACAAAAAGTTATAGATCAATTAATAAGTAATGAACAGTCAGCATATATTAAAGGACGTTATATCGGAATTAATGCTAGAACTGTTTTAGATATTTATGAACATTGTATGGAAAATAATAGTGAAGGACTTTTGTTATTTATAGATTTTGAAAAAGCTTTTGATTCGATAGAATGGAATTTTTTATTTAAAGTACTAGAAAAATTTAATTTTGAGGAAAACTTTATCAGATGGATAAAAATTTTATACACCAACCCAATTTTTAAAGTAAAAAATAATGGTTGGATTTCCAAAACGTGTTCTATGTCTAGAGGCATAAGACAAGGGTGTCCCATTTCAGCCTTGCTATTTTTATTTGTCGCAGAAATATTAGCTATAAAAATAAAAAGTAATGAACATATCAAAGGTATTAAACTAAATGCAACTTCTCCAGAAATAAAAAATCTACAACATGCAGATGACATAACTTTAGCTTTAAAAGATATATCCTCATTAGAAACAGCAATTGAAAGTGTTCAAACTTTTTGCAACCATGCTGGATCAAAAATAAATCTGAATAAAACACAATGTATACCTTTAGGTAGTCTCAAGGACAGGCACTCAAATGTGTGTGGTATAAATGTAACTAATGATGCTGTTCGCAGCTTAGGTATTTTTATTGGTCATAACAAAGACCAATGCTACAACTTAAATTGGATTAAAATTTATGAAGATATGGAAAAACTGTTTGAATCATGGAAAAAAAGAAAATTAACAATTTTTGGAAAGTCTTGTGTAGTTAATTCTTTAGCTTTATCAAAATTAATATATGTTGGCTCCATATTACCAATTCCAGACTACGAGTTGATAAAAAAATTTAAAAGTAGTGTATTCAATTTTATATGGAACAAACGAGATAGAATTAAGCGAGACACTGTTATAGGCAAACAAGAAAAAGGGGGAATAGGATTAGTTGATATTGAACTAAAATTAAAGGCCTTAAAGGCATCTTGGGTAACAAGACTTAGTGATGAATCTTGTATACTGAATAAAGTCATAAATGGATACCTGAATGAAATGAATATAGACATTAATTATTTACTTACATTGTCTGAAAGAAAACTCGAAAACTTTTCACTTATTTCTCACCTGTCTACTTTTTATAAAGAAATATTCTGTTATTTCAATGAATGTAAAAAGGAAATAGAAATATCAAATTTATCAAATGTCAAATTTGCACAACAACCACTTTGGAATAACATTTTATACCAATTTAAAGGTAAAACAATATGTTTTAAAAATTGGATTGCAAGTAATATTTTGTATACGAAAGATCTCTTTGATGAAAATGGTAACTTTAAAACATTACAAGAAATTTCAAATACTTTGATAAATAAATCTAACTGGTTGTGCGAGTACAAGATTCTAAAAAAAGTAGTAACGAAACAGAGTAACATGTTTGATATGAAGTGTTGTATTTTTACCAAGACAACTCCTGTAAATTCTTTCAATTTTAACAGTGGTTTAAATTGTATTACAGATAAAAAATGTAAGTTTTTCTATGAGAATATGTTGTCTAAAAAGTTTAAATATCCATGTTATCAATCAATATTAGGTCGAAACTTCTGTGTGAGTAAAGAATACTGGTGTAATATTTATAGAAATAAAATCAAACTCATGTATGATAAACGTCTAAGTGAATTTAATTATAAATTGTTGAATAATATTTTATGTTGTAATTCTTTTTTACAAAAATGTAAATTAAGAGAAAATGCAAAATGTGAATTTTGTGGAAATGAAAATGAAAATATAAAACATCTAATTTTTGATTGTGATAATGTAAAAGGTGTATGGCAAAAGTTGAATATTGTTATGAACTATGATGTGCAATGGAAACATATTGTTGTAGGATTTTACTTGGAAACAAATTCAAGAATTCGTTTTTATAATACTATAATATCATATTTGGCATATAAAATATATAAATTTAAAATGAAAAGCAGAATAGAAAATATTATACAAGAGAAGTTCATGTTAGAAAAAAGCATTAGATATTCATTAGAAAAAGATATAAATTTCATGTTAAATTTGTCAAAAACTTGTATGTTTAAAGACCTAGTCAAACTTTTAACAAATTTGTTATAATGACTTATTTTGTAATTTTCTTTTTCTTTGTTGTTTTTATGTTGGTTATCCTAAATACCCGGGTTAACTGGCAATTGTAAATGGGTATTGATGAAACTGTGTAATAAAAGATAAAAAAAAGAAATACCGTAAAAGACAAAAAAAAAAAAAAAAAAAAAGAATATGGCATGTTTAGTCGTCCAGAAGTGTACTTTTGCATTAATGAAATATGGAAATCTTATGAATCATATTGACATTGATAAGAACTGTGTACGAAAATTGAGACAGAGTCTTTGTGATAGAACAAAGGTTTTGCATTCTAAGCATGAAAAAAAGTCGTAAAAAGGGCACCTATTCATGCTACTGCAGTTGAATCTTTATATTAAGCACACCTTTCTAAAGGATAAGTTTTGAAATCAAAAAGAGAAGTAAAACATTTACAGAAGCACAAAAAAGCTTTCGGACAGAGAGATTTGAAAATCGTGAAAAGTCATGCCGAAAATATGATCCAGAGAATATATCAGCTTTAATGAGAACGATAAAAGTTGAGCATAGGCAGATTTTGTTTATCAAACTTATGGGATTTTTGACAAGTACTGGAGTAGACAGGTTGGTAGCTTTTTCAGCATACTTGCTTTGAAGAAAAGGACGTCAAGGGTACAAGATTACAGTGAAGAGGATCTCGAGGCAGAGGACGATGCCAATATATGTGGACAACTCGCACAGCAAGCTCTAAATGTAAAATTATCATGGTTCCTTCCTACAAATTTCAACAAATGCATTTGAATGGTTTGGGGGATATATTTTAAAACTTTATAGATAAACTGTAATATCGATACATTTATCAAATATATCCAAAAAGATGATTCATATCTTTTATGCTTAGCTAAGACAAGCTGCCTGGGTAGTGGTATTGCACTATATAAAGATCTTGTACTCCCTTGACCAACAAACATAAGAAAGAGGATTGTATATAGTACTTTTGCCTGCCTTCTTTCTATCACATTTCTGAAAAGTTTATCAAACAAGTACACTTCGTGTCATGCATCGATGGTATTTGCTTAGAAGTTGAATCACAGAGTAGATAGTAAGGTCAGTTTTATCTACATTTTTACCTGCCTAACGGCCTCATACAAACAGTTGGGTTCTTGGGTCCGACAAAACGCATGTTACCCTCGAACTCAGTCAATAAGTGTATGTTGTTGACTAGAGATTGTACATCTTTGCACATGTTTCAAATACATGTACGTACATGCATATCAGGAGCAGGCAATAACAGTTAAAAAAATTTCACTAGTGACTTGGACTTCAATTAATTAAATGACCTTGCAATTTTAGTGAATGGATAACTGAAATAAATGACATAGTGGAAAAAAAGAAGGAAAATCATTATGTTTTTGGATAATGCAACTGTGCACAGACATATAAAAACTCAGTCACGTTAGACTAGAATTTTTCCTGGCAAGTACTACTTCTAAATTTGGAGAGGACTTATATAGGCCATGCCTGATGTCCAATCAAATTATGTAATCTGACTTTACAAAATAAAATATGGATTAAATAAATAAATTTCTAAATTGCAGCCCTTAGATGTAGGAATTACATGTATAGTACCATGAAAGCGCGTAATAGTTCTTGTGTCGTTTATTAACGGGTATTGAAACCTCTTAGAGTGCCTTTTAACTTTTAAAAACAATATCTCTGTTAGACTGTGCTCATCGGATCTCGAGGTTTTGGAAGCACACAAAATCGTCATCTATTCAATCCTGTCCTTTAGCAGCGGGGTTCACCCTCCAGTGTCCAATGAAAGTTCTGATGACTCGGAGAGCGACATTCCATTAGCACAGCAGATCACAAGGCACGTAACCCTTGGTGTTAACAGAAAATTCCCCAAATAGAGTTATAAAATACCGAGAGACATCCCCATTTAAGAAACTTATAGCGGGGAATGAGAGAAAAAGATTTTAGACGAACATAAACAATCATTACATGTTGAAAACAATTCAAGCGACGAAGACAATTGGAAACTCGACGAAACTGACGTGGACAATAGACCCTTTTGCAAGAAAATTAAACTGATGAGCTTACATGTCTGACCAAATTCGAAAACTTCTCAAAAATTCACGATGATGATTACCCTGAATAGTGAATACAACTATGTACATATTTGAATTACTAAGCTTTGTGATTTTCTGAGTTATGATACGATGAATATTATGGAAGAAATTTTCACAATTAAAACTTTTACTCAAATGTATGTGCTTTATTCTCCAATGCAACAATGCATGTCATTTTAGCAACTGACTCAAACACAGGGGCACACACTCTCTCTCTCTCTCCAAATTACTGTGACATGCAATGGATGTTTAGTGTAGAAACAGCTTTTAACAACAGCCTCCCCAACTCCAGCATTGGTCAAAGCTATAATAAATTTTATATTTAGAAAAAGCAACACAACTTGTCACCATTATCATTGTTATGATTATTATGATGAATCAAATAATTTCTTTTTCAACAGTCTAGGGGATCATAAGGCTGCTTATCGCTGTTTTATAAAAAAAAAGTCGGATTTAACTTTCATTTCCATTGTGTATTACAAAAATATTAAGATTGACAGAGTAAAAAAAGTATATATTTACCACTTTGTGAATAATTCACATTTGTTACTGATAAGAAAAGAAGAATCATCAGTGTAATTATCTTTGAGAAATATGCATACATTTTATGTGCTTATTTAAAATAAATTTAAAATAGAAAAAAAAAAACACAAGCAACCAAATATATACATACCAACGCCATGTTTAGTATTCACATCAGATGGACCTTGGTCATTTACACCAATATTGGTAGCTTCCCTGTTGGCACAATACCCCTAGTAGTCAACTCTTTGCAGTTGGTACACTCTATGTACAACAGACTCGCAAGACCATCCTGTCTCTCTTTTACACACTTCGCTAAATCTAGTGGTGTATGACACACAAAACATCGTTTTAGATGTTCAACCAAAACTGCAAACTCTACGATCCTTTGCACATCGAATGTATTGGTGCATGTAGATCGAAATAATTCTTCACTGTCTTCGGTCTTACCTAGAGTTAAATCAGTGGAACTTACATCATGTTCGTAGGTCTGAGTTTCACTGTTGTTCACGGCATGATCAGTAGTGGTATTAATGCAATAGCCAGTGGAAAAAACTGCTGGTCTGAGTTTCATTATGGTTCACATCAGTCCTGGTATTAACGAAAGTGCCAGCGGAAAAACTGGTCCCTTTTTTGAAACGACCTTTCTTGACTCTAGGATTTCCCTCGATATTGTTGATTGTTTACTAGGAACAAAAGTAATATAATCTTCTTCCACAAAGATTTTCGAAAATTATTAATACCGGATTTAAGGTAGTCCAATCCTCAGGTTGTGAAAATCAGGCATTGAGTAATTAAAAATGTTCACAAATGTCTCTAAATTCTTAATTCTAAACGTAATGTGTATTTACCCACGGTGATTCCCAACAAGTAATCTTTAAAGTTTTTCATATTGAAAAAAAATTATTAGATCCAAAATAAATTCGCAGGAAATGCAGAAAACAGGACTCATACTTCACATATGTAGTTCTTGTGAGTAGTCCTTTCACTGGATATAAAAAACTTTGACCCTTGACCTTGGAGTTTGACCTACTTTTTGAAATTTTTAACCTTGGCCATAACTTTTGAAGGGTTAGGGCTAGGGCTTTCATACTTCACATAAGCAATCCTTTAGAAAGACCTTTCAATGGATATGAAGCACTTCGACCCTTTGAGCGTGACTTTGGAGTTTGACCTACTTTTAAAAACTTTAACCTTGGGCATAACTTTTGAATGGTAAGGGCTAGTGTTTTCATACTTCACATATTTATTCCTTGTGACAAGACCTTTCATTGGATGTCAACAACTTTAACCCTTTGATCTTGGAATTTGACCTCTTTTTAAACACTTTAATCTTGGCCATAACTTTTGAATGGTTAGGGCTAGGGCTTTCATACTTCACATTAGTAATACTTGTGAGAAGACCTTTCATTGGATAAAAAGAACTTTGACCCTTTAACCTTGACCTAGGAGTTTGACCTACTTTTTAAAATGTGGGTACCAACATATTTAATTTGCATTTAAGAAAAGCTGAATCTTCATTTTGTTGCCATAATAGTATTTAACAAACGCATATTGTTCTTTAAACTTTTGATTGAGAAGAAATAGGGCTTTCATATTTGACATGTGCATTACCTATGACAAGATATTTCCGAGCTTGCTATTATTTCTGCCTCCTTGACCGAAAGCAGTTAAATTGTTAAAATCATCACCCCCGGGGGTAGGGGGGGGGGCACAATAGGGAATCCAAGTTTTACATAGAAATATATAGAACAAATCTTTAAAAATCTTCTTCTCAAGAACCACTGGGCCAGGAAAGCTGAAACTTATGTGGGGGCATCTTTGGGTAGTGTAGATATTAAATTGTCAAAATCATGACCCCAGGGGGTAGGGCTGGGCCACAATTCTGAGAGTTTGCTTGTTATTACCTTGATATTATTCGATCTAAAATTATAATTTATTTTTTTATAAAAAAACTTTTATACATCTAATTTTCTTGAAAAATTATAAAATCAATATTCAATGAACCCGGGGTACATTTATTTTTACTTGTTTGAGTTTTTTTGGTTTGATTTTTATTTCTCTCTCTCTCTCTTATTACTTATGATTAAATATATTTCTGTTTTTTTTTTTATCACATCCACTGGAAAACTTATCATTGCAAATTTTTAAAATCAGCAAAACAGATATTAAAACAGACAAATAAAATAACAACAATTTGTCCAATTAAAAGTTAATATCTATCCAAAGTTTTTATTTTACAAGTCTTCAGTATCACAATAAAAATGTTAATAGCTGTCACTGTTAAAACACAGACAGTTATCGTTGTCACTGTTACAAAAAGCACATAATTACTCGTGAAAGGTGAACACATCGTTGCACATGTCTACATTTACAGTCGGGATTACACTATACCAGTGTGGCGGAGCGATTCATTTATCTTTGTCACTATCTTCTCCTTCCAATTTTCCTCTGATTGAAGCTCGGGGTAAAAGAAACACACGTAACGCTTAATCACCGACTTCCTCCGTAGGTTTAATTCCTTCTCTCCCCCCCCCCCCCCAGCTTTCCGACTCCAAACCAGTTGTAGTCAAATCGGAGGTTCCCCTCGCCAAAGAGTTCAGAAAACAATTTCCTGCACAAATTGACGGCAAAATTACCTGAATTCCTAGAATCTCTGAGAATTTCCCCGAGTTCTGAATCTGGAACATCTGGAATTTGGAATTCCTCGGGAATACCGGTTGATGCACTGCCACTGTCAGAGTCCGTACTGTTAAACTCACTGATATTGACAGCCTGAGTAGTCGGTTGTTGAAGGCCTCCATTTCGCACAAGGTCGACGAGGATATTAATGTTGGTCAGAACTGTATTCATCTGAGCTTCTAGCCCGGTCACTCTGTGTTTGTTGGAGAAACCTTGTTGAAAACATCATACAATTTCCGGATGTCCCGCATGATGGCCTGCAAACTGGCTGTGTCTTCCTCGCTTGTGGATGGACGTTAAGTCCGGAACCTATCAAGCGGGGTACTCGTCTGCGGAAGTTGGAGGATGTCTAGTTGGGGTCAAGAGCGCGGGTGAGACAGATGGTGCTGGTTCCTCATTTTGTTCTGTAAGAATCGCTGGAGGTCGTGTTGGAGTAAGGAACGTGGATGACAGAAGTGGCGCTGTTTCCTGCAAGTTTTCTGCTGGTTCTAGAGTTATAACTGTGGGACCCTCGGTCTTCCGGATTTAGTCTGAAAAAAAATGTTCTTTCTTATTCTAAAACATAGAAATAAAATGAAATTATAGACAAAATACACATTATTTTGAAAACAAACAACTTAACTTTTTAACTTTGAAAATGATATAAACTTATTACAATATACATGTAAATTACGTATCATTGGAAAGGAGGCTAATAAGATCAGTTCACTTTGAAAATTGAGAGGTCAACCAAACTGTGTTTTAGTAGGAAACATAGGTATCTAATACTGCTTTGTTAAGATTTACGTTTATTTAATTTTACATCGAAAGTCACACTGCAGGAAATAAACTGAGATTTTTCTGTTTTGCGGCGTTTCAGCTGCGGTGGTTCTTCTGGCCTGGGTGGAGTTGGCGATCTGGGGGAATGCGCTGAACGAGGGGAAGAGACGACTGGGGATGTTGGCTGCAACAACAAATTCTTCAACTTGGAACGCATCTCCAACTCTGTTCCTGAATGAATAACGACTGCTCTGTCAACTTCCTTTGGTCGCCCCCATTGTACATCATATTCCTCACCGACAGTCACAGAGTCACTGTCACACTTAAAAAACATACGAGTTTTCACTTGAAGATTGTCATCACATAAGTACCGCACGATAAAGTGTGTATCATCACACTGTAATAAACGTCTGGCCATGGTCATACAAAATGTAGATCTTTCTCAGTCGTAGTGTTTCCGTAGAATGAGGTGTAATAACATCTTAACAGATTTTTAAGCATGTTGGTAAAAGCATTGGCTGTATCTTAAAAGACACTTTAATGCCTTTCATACAAAGGAAATTCCACGCAGAGGAACATCGCTTCCAGCATGACAACGACCCAAAGCAAGCACACGTCGAAGCGCGCTACAACGTTCATGACAGAAAACGGGATCAATTGGTGGAATGCATGGCCGGCAGGTAAATTTACTTTAGATATTCTTTAAACTTAAAAGGTCGTCAGATTAAAAACAAAATTAAAGATTTAACGGAGTTAAGTATATATTTTTTTAAACTTATATATGGTACAAATATGTTTAAACACATTTAATCAAGATTTACATTTTCTTTTTAAAGGAAGAAAGACACTTTTAAACACATTCTTAACAATCTAATTTTTAGTGTACACGTATTTTTCAGAGAGTCCAGACCTCAATCCCATTGAGTTGGTTTGGAGTGAGCTGAAGAGGTGCGTTGCTCGTGAAACACCAAGGAAGAAGAAGGAATTGGAGGACTGCATCTTGCGATTCTGGCGGACGGAGATGACTCCAGAGAAATGTTCCACTTACATCGATCATGTTTTCAAGGTTGTTCCAGCGTGTGTCGGTTTGAATGGAACCGCAACTTATTACGGAGAGATCTCGAGGAAAATTCATCCGATATTTCCAGGACAAGCTCGTTTCTGACCCCGAGGTTCGCATCAAGGCCGCCGAACTGGAAACAGTGCCGTCTGTTGTAGTGTGGACAGTTTCAGTGTAGATACAGTCATTAACTATTTTTGTGTATACATGTAGTACGATCTACGGAACTATTGTTATAATGGACAAATTGCTTATTATGAAAATGAATTTTAATGGAATAAGTAGTATTATGAAAATACATTTATATTGAAATTAAATGCATTTATTATAATTCATTCTTACTTCATATTTACTGTAATTGTCTTCAGTTGTTTTCTTTTTATATGACTTCTAACTATCAATAAAAATAAATTTCAACAAGCATACATATGAAGTTGAAACGACAAAAGGTATAACTTTTAGTTAATATCATGAAACACATTGGATATATATTTTCATTAGTAATTCCATGACCAGCAAACAAAAAATAATACCTTTAATTTTCTTATAGAAGTTATATACCATGTTTATGGTGAAGATCGTAGCTTCTTAATAAAGCAACAAATAGATAAACGAAATTTCAAATAAAAATACTGTTAAGGTATGGAAATCCTAATGATAAGTACGAAGATAATACCCATTACAGTTTTTAAAATGATAATCAAACAAGAATAAATACCATTGGTAAATATACCCATCGTAAGTTAAATGTTTTCAATATTTCGGGGGCTTTGTGTGTGTGTGGGGGGGGGGGGGGCTCCTTTCTTTATTTTTCGTAATTTATTTTTAGGGAAGATGTGTAATTAAAATACTTTAAATGAAATGTTTATAAATCGTCTAAGACATATATATTTTTTAAATCGTTTACAGTAATTTGGTAATTTTAATTTAATATTTTCAAATAGGTAAATTAATATCTCTAATGTCCATGAATAAAAAAGTTATAACTCAGGGTAGATAACTCGCATTTTAACCGGATACTTTTTGCTACCTGCTACTTTGATATTGAATACTGTTCGTTATCTCCATATATATCCGTCATTAAAACAAAATTTTTCAGGGTCACTTTTAAGGCCTTAATTTTAAATGTCTTCTCTAGGGTTAAAATGCATAAAAAAAACTCTCAAAAATGCGAAAAACCTATTATACCATACTGGTTGATATATATGAACCATGTATTCAAAATCAGTAAAGTTCATCAGATTAGACTCTCGCCAACGTCTTATTTAGAGTCCTGGTAGAATCCACCTGTTGACACACTTTTATTTTTTCATACATTTAACCCGTACGCTTTGTTCGAGGACACGAATCATTCACTTTGTATTACTCGATACAGGTGTCACGAAAAAGAAATCAAACCGAACAAAAACTGCTGCGTGTGCCTTGCAAAACTCTTGGAAATAGTACTGTTGTGAGTGAAATACTGCAGAGAAGATGCAGTTCGTTCCTTGGTAAAAACGTGTGCATTAGCGATATTTTATGCCACAAATACAGGAGGAAGATTTACAAGTTAGAAAAGCTCGGGATAGGATGAGTTAAGGAGGCTCATAACACCACTTTTTGATGACGTAGTACACAAAAAATACGCCTCAATTTATTCGGTCTTTTTTTTGGTGGGGCGAATTGTATAGGAACTGCCCTTTTTAAAAGGAGGCAAAAAAACTCCCAACATGATCTGAATCTTTAAAGCGTTTCATAAAAGATGATTTCCATTATACATCAAAAAAGAAAGTAATACACAGAGAACGAAAACAAACCGGTTTGATCGGTGCGATCAGCTGATGCAATGATGGTCTAAACTGCTGTTCGTGTGGGTCTTGAATTGCTTAGATACCATGGACGAGCCAAACCATATAATTAATGATCACTGTTATAGCAAAGGTATGACATTGATTTCATTAAAGCTATTTTCAGTGCACATTATTGATTGTATTTTATACATGATTCATCATAGTTCATGTGATTGTAATGCCAACATGTTTGTAACTACATACCGGGATATGTAAACTATTGACATAAATAAACGTTATAAAATAAGGGTTCTATAGCATGCTTAATGAACGTCAAAAGATTCAATCACGTATATATTTCACTGTTTAAAGGGACCAAATAATTATAATTTTAAAACAAGTAACTGTTTTCTGTAGGTATAAAGCCTAGGTATTTATAAGATAGTGATGCTGCTGTTGCTGCTGATGTTGTTGACAATCCAGAGCATTACCAGCCCTTTTCACCTGGTAATATAAGAGATAATGATATTTCCAATTACTCTTTTTTTCATCAGACAACGTCATTGTTTTTCAATGTCTGCTTCTTCTACCCAATACACTTATTTTGATGAGATTCCCTGGAGCTGAGTAACGAATTCAGCCCGTCTTGTTTATATGATTTTACAATGTCATGAACAGGGCTTTCAATGCATATAATATTCTAAATGGATTTACACTGGGAGAGATCCTCGTTTGATTGTACCAGCATATTTTACTTTTTGGAGTTTAATATCTACAACATATACGTGTCGGAGAGTTCAGATATGGCTTAGGTAAATATATTGAAATTTTTTTTCTTTTATCCTTTTCCATTTCCTGTACATGTAGTACTGATCCAAGTATATGAGCGCATTTAAAAAAAAAAAAGCAGATGTGCACTCTGATCATTTATTCACTCTAATGCGTATATATTAAAATATGTACATACATGTATATCAACTTGTTTATATGTTAAAATCCTATAAATAAATTCCTATATTTTTCATTTCACAATCCTGCAACTTTGCTTAATTCATTTATCATATAAACTGTTAATAATTTAAGTGAATATATTAATAGGCCTACTTTCAATATGCACAGCCCCGTGGGGATCCGGGTTAGAATAGGTCCTCAGTACCCCTTGCTTGTCGTAAAAGGCGACTAAATGGGGCGGTCCTTCGGATGAGACCGTATAAACCGAGGCCCCGTGTCACAGCAGGTATGGCACGATAAAGATCCCTCCCTGCTCAAAGGCCTTGAGTGCCGAGCATAGGCCTAAATTGCAGCCCTTCACCGGCAATGGTGACGTCTCCATATCAGTGAAATATTCTGAAGAGGGACGTTAAACAGTATAGAATCAATCAATCAATATGCACATACCTTATGAAAAGTATGAAAGACAAGCAGTAACACAATAATTACATTTATTGATTAAATGATTAAAGTAGTTCGAAGTGCTATACATTTTGGTAGCAAGTCTTGCCACTGTGGATTATATTGAAGACATAATATGAACTCATTGCAAAAATCAAAAATCTTGGAATTTGTTCATTACTGAATCATTAAGTAGGCATTAAAAACTGAATACATTGTAGCTAGGGAAATATTATAATATAAAACTTGTTTGGGTTCTTTTTCGAATTTGTTATGATAGCTATTTGTTTTCATTGGGTGTGAATTAATAATTGGCCAACTGCAAATTGTTATTTATCAATATTCATTTGTAAATGTGTGTTTTCATCTATATTTTTTTTTAAAGTGATTCTTTCTTTTGACACAATATAAGGTATATTGCTGATGTTTAGCTGTAGCTAAATGTAGTTGAACCAATTTCATACAGAAGAAATCCTATAGGAATTTAAAATTTCCTACAGGATATTTTTCTCCCATAGGAGCAGGTAAATAATTCAAAAGTGAAAAAATTTCCTACAGGAATTTCTGACTGAAAAAGAGAATCCTACAGGAATTTAAGAAATCTTATGGGATATATTTTTCCTAAGGGATTTTTTCTCTCTCTTATAGGAAATTGTATTCCTACAGGAGATTAAATTCTCCCATAGTAATTCAATTTCCTGTAGGATTTCTTATATATCCTACAGGAAATTAAGAAATCCTACAGGATTTGATAGTATCCCTCAGGAATTTTATTTTTCCTATAGGAACTTTATTTTTCCCATGGGAATTTTTTGTTCAAAGGTGATTATCTCACCAGACAGGCGAGATTTACCTGTAACAAAGGTAGTTATGAATTCTGTGAGTGATGGTCTATCACTTGGTATACATGTTTTTTATGTGAAATGAGAATTTGGCAGGCGCCAAAATGCTACTTTTGAAGTGGCATAATTATCCGGCACAGTGTTATTTAATGAATATTCTTTGCTTTCATTTTCATACACATTTCAATTAATTTTGCGTTTTTTACGGGTTATACAAATACAGTATTTAATTGGGTTAAATTTACCAAATTTAAATTATTTTCAAATATTTACATTTCCAATGTCTTTGAGATAAAGTTACAAATGCTAAATGTAATTGATTTCTTCATGAAGCTGTTGGTTCCTTGATGGGCGT